TAAGTAATTCCCATGTTTAAACTTTGACTTAGACTATCAGTAATGAACGTGGTTTATTGTAAAAACCAACACCTATGTGAGTTTTCGGTTACCAAGGTATTAAATAATAGTTCAAACGGGTATGGGGAATCCGGCTGGTTGTTAGCAGGCTATTGTTTGTGATCGCGTGGGGTGCGGGGTATGGGGCTAGAAGGAAATATTGCTGTTGATAAGTGGCCTCAGATACCGGAACGTATAGAAACGGGACGCTTAGGCAACCAAAAATCCGGCTAACATCCGGAATTGACGTAGAAGCGAACCAGGTCACAAAAATCTCCGATCGGATTTCTTCAGTCAACCCCATGAGGGGACTGAATTAAGTCGTGGTAACAAAAACTCATACATCAGGATAGATTAGGAGTAATGAAAAATGTAAATTATTTGCAAAAGTTTAAAATTTCCTTTTTTTCTAATGATTTTTTCTACGATGAACCTTGAGTAAAGGAACCAGAGGACCGTATTTTCCACCCTTGCGGTCGAATAGTGTTCATTATTGTACAATATGATTTGAATCTCGAAAATAATATTCAAACTGGTTCTTTGATTTCAAGTATAAACAAACTGTTCTGAACCACTTTTTATCCGTACAGAAAGAGGACATGGCCATTTGGAGAATAAGTTTCGCACTGGACAACGAAATGCGATGCTGTGGGGGAGGGGAGTGGCAATCCTCGGTCAATTGAATGTGATTAAAACCACAATTGGAAGTTTATGGTACACCAAATAAATAACCTAATTGAGAATTAACTGGTAATTCCAAGAATACGTCGTCCCTGAGATGGTAAAGAAATATGGAGGGTGAAACCAGCTTGTTGACTCTACAACCCAAAGAGACGATTTTATAAGTTGGGAGAAAGACTAAATGTGGGAAAGTGTTTTCCAGATTTCTTGAAATTTTTGTTTGGCGAGCGGGGAAGAAGTTAGGAGTGTGAAACCTAGGGGTATTTACTTAAAATGAGGCACACCAGCCCCACGATTAGGAAAACTGAAAGGGGGATTGATGCGGCGAGGTGGATGGAACAGTAACGATAGAATAAGGATAAGAAAGCGCTTTTAAAACGGTGAACTGATGACTGCGAATTATGTGTTGGGGACAAATTGTTGAAGAGATGGATGGTCTTACATCGAACCCAATCGAAAAGAGACAGACATATGTGAACAAAGCTGTACTCCATGTATGAACTTGTTTAAGGAAGTGAAGATGAATGGGCTGTCACGGGCGAGGAAAACGATCTCGGGTTCTGCGCACCAGTCAATAAATCAATATAAGGTCACCCCTCTGACAGAAATCCTCAATATGTTGCATGAATTTATGGAACGGCGAAGGTTTGAGTCAAAATTTATGATGTGAGAGAACGTTTGATATTTCGGGGAAATCCACATGAGCGGGGGCTCACACTTTTGTCAACGTGATCAGACCAGAAATCACTGTTTACAAAACGTCATTTTTATGTCGTTTCACTGTTCAATTCGATCACCGTAGCTGATCAAATGCTTACTAGTAATGCTCTCCGTAGTATACATTGATAATTACTTTAAACCGTGTCAAGCTCTACTCACGCAAGAATAAACAAGGTATTGTTCTCCACTGTTTTTTTGTACATCATCAGTGAATACACAAAGAAGCAGCGCCTTTCCATCCCCAACATCTCATCGATCTTCGGAGACCATGTTTCTTGCTCTTCCAAGCTCATTGGACCTGGCGCAGACCAGTACGTACCGCTCACCATCGTTTGTACCCACACTGATGCCCAAACGCTTCCGTTCACGAAACACCACCACCACCGCCATGCTCTCGCCCCGATCACGAAGCTGTAACTGGCACAGATCGGATTCGACTCAGCTGCAGTCCGATATAGTCCGACTGCCCGATCTGACCCCGACCGAATCGGGGTATCAAGCTCGGGGTTTGTCGCTCGCGAAACTGACCGGTCGTACTAACAAACGCTGGGAACGAAGTAAAACGATTCAAGTGAAATGGCAGAACTTCATCGGGCAATTGGATCTGGAGTACAGTCCGCATCCGCCACCACCAAGCCCGGTATGCAAATCACGAATCAGCCGACTGTCCCAAGGCAATCCTTCTGTGGTCAGTTTTCCTTGTGGTCAAATGGAAATGCACTGGAAAGTTCCGGACCACGGGGATGGTTCAGGTGACTGCGAGTAGAGTCGACTGAGGAACGACTTGGCACGATCCACGGCGGTCGTATTTATTGAAACTATTCTCACTTATATTGCACTCATTACAAAGACAGACACCATTTCTTTCTCCAGCAAGCGTTTTTCTTCCTAACCTGAGAAAAATTCAAATCGCAGGTTTTGGGGAGTTTGCTTCTTATCCTTGTTTTCAGCGTCGTACAGTGCAGTAGGTCAATTCGAAACAAGGGGATGGTAGCTAACCTCGCTCTGCGTCCACATCCACCAGCATGAATGTGCAAATTGACATAAGCATAGCGAGAGGGAATTAAGGATAAACGATCTTAAAGAAAATCGTACAAGGTTGTATGAAGAATAGTGGAAAGAGTGAACCGCATGATTGCGAGGACCTATTATGCGGTTATGGAAAATCAGAAGAGCTCCTAGACATCAACAGCTTCCGCAAGCACATAACCAATTGGCCAAGTGGTTAGGTTACCGATTTCTGATCCAGTGTCCCGGGTTTGAATGGTTTCAATACCACCGGTCTTCCCCATTCCTGTGTTTCTCAGGCAGCATTTGTATGGCCGCGGCTCCCTTCCTGAAAGTTGACTGTGCATTTGTGTATAAATTCAATAAATAGAAAAAAAGGAAATAAAAACACATTTATCCCCACCCTCTCCTATTCACGCACACACACTTCTGACTGCCATATTGACGGTTCATCTCAAATTGTTTATATAGAGTCACAAACTTTACGTTAATTCCGACTAACAGTAGGAAGAAATAGGATGTCAATTTATGCTCGTGGCTATAAGCATGACCATGGATGAGCGGGCCAAAGGCAAACTGAGGTGAACAGCGATACCGCATGCAGCCAATGAGCGTGTTGTGAAAGATAGTCAACTTTGCTGGAACAAACACGTGAGTGAGGTTTTCAATCCAGTCAAGTAGCCTCGTCAATCCCCGCCATCAATGAGACCAGCCGGATAAACACGACCGTGACGTATTTCCTTCTCCCTTCTGTTCCACAGAATAGAATTAAAAAAGCACCAGTTCCGGCTATCGCCTCCGAAGCCTCACTATGGTCGGCGTGGGTATCTTGGGCTGTGATTTAACATCCTTCCCTTGCACCTCACTACTTTGCTCCTATTATACCAAGTGTCTCACTCAGCATCCACTGAAGAAGCCCCACTCAGTGCCTTCTCGTGGTGGAGGTGTTTTCCAAAAAAAGTGAGTGAACTACAAGCCAATATCCGGGGCTATAACCGGGTCGGTGAATCACGGGCAGTTCACATAAGGGAGTTGGCTAGAAACCTTTAATCCAAATCAACCAAGAAAAGGAGTAGGAATCACGCTTACCAGTACCTTCCTGGTTGTGACCATAGTCACCGGCTCGATTGGGCATCGAGGTGTATTGGGCACCTTGGACGTTTGACCTCGTCCAAAGGGCTCCCAATATATTGCGGTTCGAACATACCGTTCCACTGCTGTGCGGCTCAGGCTTTCATTGGCTGAGGGCCCTGGTTGTGAATTCCTCCAAGAAAATTCACCTGCCTTGGCTTGTCTGGGCAACCTGGCAATACTCCGCCCACATGAACATCAGAGAACTTTATCTTTTTTATATTGTACTATGATTTGTGATTCAGATCCGTGCAAAATACTACTACTGACAATCGCATCTCGGTTAGTGTTCCGTTGTTTAAGAATTCATGCTTTAATTTCGATTACTTTGAAGCGATACAGTTGTGTACTGATGTGATGATGACGAATTATTCCGAGTTCGGAGAAACACTAACACTGACCAAAATGAAATTAGCATCGCTTTGATTTCAACCTAAAAACGAGGGGAACCTACGGACACCAGAAATATTTTGTGGTGGTGGTCCTGCTTGGGAATGGCTCTAAGCTAACAAGTAAACGTGGTGCTTATGCTTGTCTATCAGTCCACCGTTCTGCATTTGGTCTCGTTGTTCACCTCCTCCCGGGTGCGGGGCTGCTTGCACACGCTTTTGTTATGTTCTTGTAGTGAGTGTGGTAGTAGTAATAGTACGCACTGAACTCGGAATACGAACCACGCAATACGGATCACGGAATACGAATCAAGGATTAGCAATCACGGACTGGATCACGTAAGCACTGGACCGCACCGGCACTTGCACGCAAGATCCTACGTAACCGAGATGTGATGGAAAGGCCAAAAGAGTAGAAGTTCGTTTATTGAGAGAAGTAAGAGAGATTAAATAATATGTACAAAACAAGATCATTAGTCATCCGGGGCTCTGCCAATCGCCTTCTAATATTTCTGCCCTTGTTTAGCTTCTGTTGGGGCCGCACGGTTTCTGATTGGCTGATACAATCGGCCTATGGCTTGCAGTTCAGAAACTGTGGCACGCACGCGCTTTGCTTACGTCAACCGTGAAGCTTGATTGATCACCGTTGTCCTAAAACTGTAACGCGTCGATGCAGAGTATGCGTCATCTCGCAGGCTAGGATCACCACACTTGGCCTACCTTGGCGACCTGGAGGTATTCCGCCCAACTGCTAATCATGGAAAATTTTTCTTGTTTATAAAGATTATTGCACTGTAATTTGTTTGGCGCACACATTCTAAAATCAGACTTGTAGGGAGCGCAATGATTTGCGCACATCTATTTACTTTTTTGCGAAAAACATGCTCTCATTTATTCCATCCTAACTAGGGTTGCGAACTCGCTTTGTCTTGCCTCGTTTGATAAAGCAGCGCTGGTGAAAACTGAGAAAATCGGATGATTACAGTTTCGAGTGCCTACTTTTCTTTCTTTATCAGATCCTGTTCTCAACAAAATCACTCGATCTACGTTTTCTCTACTCAGCGCGCGCACACACACGCACACACCTTTGATCTTATTGACCCCCGTCTCAATATGGATTAGCCTCCCGTGTAGCACACAAACAACAAAAACACAATCGTTGTTGTTTTCGCACGGAAGTGAGCGGGACCGATACGTCATTCTCGGAAATCTAAAGTCTAGCACAAGGCGATCAACGGATCAGCTTCATTTTGAGATGACGATGACGATGACGGTGACCGTAACAATCGGGATTGTGTGCGCGTGTGTTTGTGTGTATGATGTGAAACTGGTCAATAGCTCTGGCACGTCACGTGCCAATTCACGACTACCAAATTGATCCTGTCACAGAGCACAGTGAGGATGTACATGTGTACCGGATAATGAATCTCATCGAAAAAATGGTAGACAAGCAAAATCGAGCCAATCAGTGGGCCGCGACCACACAAGAACTGTGATAAAAGTATTCAGTTGATCAGGTCTGTCCAAACTCAATGAAACACACACGGCGTAGTGGGGACGGTACTTCATCGGGCACACACACAGGTGCTGCACTCTCAGCGTTCTCCAAAATGTAACCAATCACCTTGTGAACATATTTTTATTACAAACAGCACAGGGAAGCCCATCTGTCAGTCTGAAAATGTATCAATTTTACGCGGTTTTCTGTGAAGTGTACTGAATCTCGTGATGTCAGGTATCGCCAGGACAGATTCCTTGCTCTACACCTATTCCCATCAACTTTTAACCAAAACCCGCAATTCTTTAGCCACGACCCGTAGTCCTTTAGCCTAGAAGCATGAACTTTAGTCATGCCACTGCGAACGAGTCAGATCAAAAAGTATCGGAATTTAATTTGAGATCAACGAATGTTGAAACATTTTATTTTCTGTAAATGTTGATGTTGCAAAGCTGGTTTAAGAGATCAGGTGTGAGGGCCACACGTTGCATCACCTGTTGATTGGCAAAGGCTTGAAGGATGTGCCCGTATCCTCGACCCGTTTGACACATCTTGTACGGCTTCAGTATTCCCGTACAATATGCGGCACTCCTGTGAATAAAAATCCCAAAAGTAATATAAATGGTACATTGTTTTGCGTTCACAAGCCCTGAAACAAATTATAAGTGATATTACAAAAAAGTGAAAGCTTGCCGTTCCGTACATTCACTTAAAGCGAACTCCGCTCAGAAACATACAACCCGCTTAGTACACCTTTTCCCATCAAGCTTAAGGCAATTGTGCAAAATGTTGCAGCCATAGGAAACTGATGATACTTTCTTTTGGGGGGAGGTATAGGTTTGTGAACAGTGTTCATTATCCCCGGTCTGTTATTGCATCCACATTTCAAGAACGGAGTTAACTGTGAGAGGAGCTCACTGAAACTAGTAAAACCGTACTATACGGGTAAATCGTTTAAGCTTTCTCCAATCAACATGTGGTGCAGCATGCCACTGTCACACCTCATTTCTTAACGAAGCCTTGGAACATTTACAGAAAATAAAATGTTTCAACATTCGTTAACTCCAGAATATTTCGATAATTTTGATCTGACTCGCCCGCAGTGGTATGACTAAAGTTTGTGCGTCCAGGCTAAAGGACTACGGGTCGTGGCTAAAGCATTGCCGGTTTTGTCTAAAGCTCCATGGGAAAAGGTGTAGTGCATATTTCAATCAATCAGACAATTCACCTATTCCTCGGTTAGAATAAGTTATAAGTGATCTGAAAACCTACAAAACAAACTGTTTCAGTATTTGAATGTGTATCATGAAAACTGTGTTTGCTCTCGTATCAAGTTCGAATTTGTGTCAGATTTTTGTTGTTGAAAAAACAAGCTTATCTAAACAAGAGTGCGGGCACTGTAAACAAACGTTTTCCCACTTACCATGCGCCAACGGAATGATTGATTGATCGGGTCCCTAGTATTTTATTGTTAATAGTACAATTCCCTCCTCGTACGGTGAACATGGATCAGACCGAACAAATTTCTTTGCCCACACGAGTGTGTTCGCTCTGGGGAGGCGAGATGTTCAGGAAACAGATACAAATGTGTGCTTCTTATCCGTGAAAAGCACAATTTTCTCTTCATATATGTCATCATTTTGGAGGCATTTGGGCATAATCGAACCCCACAACAGTTTAAAAAATCGTATGGAGTTGAATCCGTTCTTCCCAAATAGTCTATCTTGGTGTCATTGTTCA